CTGTCCTGAAAACCCTCACAGCCTACTTCCTGGAAAAAACTCTTGTCCTGAAAATCCCCTTTTCCTACTTCTTTCTCTCTTGGGGTTGCTGTGGGCAGGCGGGCAGGCAGGCATCGGCTGGCCCTCGTTGATTCCCGCTCTCTCTCTTGGGGCTCCTCCCAGCCGGCGGTGATCATGAATGCAAGGAGGGTGGCCAGCATCTCTGCATAGCTGGAGAAAGCCGGCTCGACGGGCGGTGGTAGGGCTCCTGCTCCCCCAGGAGTGGCGCGAACTTCACCGGGGGGGGGTGGAGGTGGGAGGGAGGGGCAGGTGGGAGGGAGGGAGGGATGGTCTTGGGTGGCTGTGAGGGAGCCTGAAAGGGGGGCGTCAGAAATTGGTGGGTGCACGGGGGGGGGGGGGCCAGAAGGGGTCTTCGCCTAGCATGCCAAAATACCTGGGGCCGGCCCTGCCCTTCCTCTCCCCACAACAGACACCCTGTGAGGTAGGAGGGGCTGAGAGAGCTTTGATAGAACAGCTCAAGAGAACTGTGACTGACCCAAGGTCACCCAGCTGGCTGCATGTGCAGGACTGGGGAATCAAACCCGGTTCTCCAGGTTAGAGTCTACCGCTCTTAACCAGTATACCAAACTGGCTAGGTCAGGCAGAACATAGGTGACTTTTCTAAAATCACGCCGTGAGCTTCCACAGCAAGATGGGGATTTAAAGCTTTCACTGTTACACTGCACTGGCTTTCATAGGGTGACTGCTGTTGAACAGCAGCAAGCAGCCAGGACCAGCTGAGTCACACAAATCAGGTATTATAAAGTCACCCAGAGATTGCTGCCCAGCCGAGGCTTCCCAACCTCCAGGTGAGACAGGGAGATCTCCCAGAATTACAACTGAACTTCAGATGATAGAGATCTGTCCCCATGGAAAAAATGGCTGCTTTGGAGGGTGGACTCTATGGCGTTATATCTGGCTGAGGCCTCTTCCCTCCCCAAACCCTGCCCTCTTCAGGCTTCACCACAAAATCTCTAGGAATTTCCCAAATTAGAGCCTGGCCCTGATGAATCCTCCCTAAAAGGCCAAAATAGGTCTGGAAAGGGATTTGACTCCTCCCCCTGACTCTGCACTGGCTGCCTATAGCGTACCGGATTTGGTTCAAGGTGCTGGTTTTAACCTTTACAGCCCTATATGGTCAGGGGCCTGCCTACATGAGGGACCGCCTTTCCCCACGTGCCCCAGAGAGCACTGAGGTCAGGGTCACAACACCGCTTGACCTTGGCCAGGCTGAATATCACCAGAGCCAGGGCTTTCTCAGTGGTGGCCCCATACTGGTGGAATGAGGTCCCGGAGGACATCAGGGCCCTGCAGGACCTGTAAAACGGAGCTCTTCCACCAGGCTTTTGATTAGGAGCTGCCACTGATGAAAGTGCCCTGGAACATCTTCTGGCTTGAAACTTAGAACATCTTCTGGCCTGAGACCTTGCTGGATGCTACTCATATCATTGGGTGTGATTTGGATTATCACCACCACCTGTCGGGTTTTATCTGTAACTGTTGCCGTTTTAACTGGTCTTGTATTTTTAACTGTTTTATCTCTGTATTGTTTACGTTATTTTAACCCTGTTAGCCGCCTTGAGCCAGCGTGTCCAGCAAGGTGGGATATAAATAGAAATAATAAATAAATAAAATAAGAAACCCAACCTGTGGTTGCCTAGCAACTGCAGCTTAGGAATTCCATTACTTAAAACTATAGGCGCCTTTTATCATTTTCAAGATTTTTTTTTTAAATGGGTTTTTTTGATTTCACATTTTTCTGCAAACCTGGGGCCCTTGTAAAGTTTGTAGAAAGATCTGTCTTTCCTGTTTACAGCTCCAGTCACCAGATTTAGGTATCCAGAGATTTGGCCAGCTATGCTATTAGAATAAAAGATTATTCAAGTTTTCTAGGAGCAATTCAAAGTTCTTTTGATAACAAGACGGCTGCAACCCAGTTCAAGCTCTTGTGTAGTCAGAGATCATGCAAAACAAAGGCTAGTCTCCTGACAGCA